GTTTTACTGTGTATCAACCTTCTTAGCCTGCCACTGCATATAGAAGTTTTAGTATACATTAAAAAGAAGGGACCAAACAAGACATGAACAATGCAAGTATCATCTGTGTTTATAAAAAAAAGACACAAAAAAAATTTGTCGGCATTAGCTTCAAAGCACGCCGCTAGTGACCCCCGGCCCTCTCACTCGTCATAAAAAAATTTACCAACAGTATGCGAGCAATAAATTTCATTTATTTTGCATATTTGTTTACCTTGAATATCGTGCACGATATAAGGAAAAAATACTGCTTAGAAAAAATAACGTCCGGCTAATTTTTGCTTCTTGGCGCTCCCCTCCCCCTCCTCTGGGGCGCGTCGTCAACATCGGCCGCGGGATCCTCGGAGACGGTGGACCCGGTGGCATCTCCCGATCCACCGCCCCCGGCTGCACCAGCCTCTGGTCCACCGCCACCGGCTGCACCAGCCTCTGATGCCGGCTGGGCCCGTGAAAAGAACTTGAAAATCGACCCTTTCTTCATGGGCCCTTCTTCATGCTTTACAAATTTCCTGGGTAGCACTGAATGCTGGGAAATCCGAAAACTCTGTTTTCACCGAATTTTACCGAAAATTGGACGAAAAAGCCGAAATTACTCTGCCGAAGGACTTCGTACCACATCGGGCAACAAGTTTCGCGGGTCTCACCATATTTGGTAAATCAGCTACGTAGGCCTTCGCGTCTTGCCATATTAGGTAAATCATTACGTAATGCCTTCGCGTCTTCACCTGGGGGACGAGATCAGCTTGTTCCCCAGGATGTTCAGTAAAGAAAACATATGGCTGCCATGCGCCCAGCGCGATGCCGACACACAAGAAACTTCGGAGATACGCAGTGCAAACATGATATATCGGTATTGTCCAAGTGCAAAATTGCACATTCAAAATATTTTTAGGTGCAAATCTTGAAAATTATGTGCAATTTGCACATTGCACCTTTGTATTTCGAACCCTGCCTTCATTAACGCATGCGGAACGCGGTCTTATCGCGTCAATGCCGCGTTCGCGGTTGTCAGAGTTGGAAACTATAACGCGAGCTGTACTGTACCCAGTACATGGACCAGTGCAGGTTAGGTGCAGGTAGACATCAGAAATACCTGCACAGCTCTAATTTTACCTGCACTAAGGTGCATATACCCAGTACATGGACCAGTGCAGGTTAGATGCAGGTAGACATCAGAAATACCTGCACAGCTCCAATTTTACCTGCACTAACCTGCATATACCCAGTACATGGACCAGTACAGGTTAGGTACAGGTAGACATCAGAAATACCTGCTCAGCTCCAATTTTACCCACACTAACCTGCAGATGCAGGTGGTATTTTGAGCCCTTGGACTGAATTCTAATGGAATTCTAAGGAAAAGAGGGAGTCCACACATTCCTCCAGCCATAGGTTTCAATAGGGTGATGTTGGTAAAAAGAAATTGTAGCCTTGTACATTGTAGCTCAGTTAACTAAGTCCAATTTTATTCTGTT